GCCTTACCCACAGTGTAAGTAGTGGTTATGGTGCTTGAAGTATTCCTTTAAGAGTCAGATTGAAACATTAAAAACAGAACAGCAGGATGGCAGTTTTGGAAATATGCACATTGTATAATAACTTACTTGTACAGTCACCTAAATTGTACATTCCTTATTGCATTAAGCTTTGTTCTAAGCAATATATGTATCTCCTGCTTTTATAAGTAATGCATGATCACCCCTGTACTCTTGTGAGCACCGTCTGGGTCTTAGCCCATTTCATTCTTAAGTATCATTTTACCTGCTTCTGGCTCTAAGAATTATTACTTTGTTTCCTCAAACAGGTGCCAAGTTCCCAATTAAGTGGACAGCCCCTGAAGCTGCATTGTATGGCAAATTCACCATTAAATCCGATGTCTGGTCTTTCGGGATCCTAGTCTGTGAGGTGGTGACGAAGGGAAGAATTCCGTATCCAGGTGCTGATAATCTGCCTGGCAACAGATTGTGGGGAACTTGAAGGGTGGCAAAACAGATATGTAGTTAGAGATATTCACAGTTATAGATGTACAACAGTACACACATGCATCAGTACACAAACAAGCACAAATCTCCTCACATTAACACATTGTTTAGTATAGACACACTCACACAAACACACAGTTCTTTTTCTCTTTCCGTCTGACTCAAATCTCCACTTCTTTTCTGCTTTTATCAGTAAAAATTCTTGACAGCCCTCAGGGTAAACACATTTCTATAACAATATAATGTTCATCTTAACATCCTAAATCATGTTTATTTATGCCATAGGTATGAGTAACAGAGAAGTTCTCGAGCAGGTGGAGAGAGGCTACCGAATGCCAAGCCCTCCAGGCTGCCCTCCATCTCTCCACGAGCTCATGCAGCAGTGTTGGAAGGCAGACCCTGAGGAACGACCAACATTTGAGTACTTGCAGTCCTTTTTGGAAGATTATTTCACAGCTACTGAGCCACAGTATCAGCCTGGAGACAATATCTAAGTTTGGGGAAGGAGGTATGAAGGAAAGTGGAATGTCCTGACATACCGCCTGGGAAAGCCATTTCGAAAATTCAGTGATTAATGTAAGGGACAGACTGTAATTTCTTAGGAAATGAAGGATAAACATTTCCAATGGAATCCACTTTAAGAAAAAGGGCTAACTATTGCCAAAACCTGGGAGATGCTTCTGGCACACGTTTGAACTGATTGATCAAAAACAAATATTCCTTAAAAAATAATGTGACCACTTCCATATTTCATACTCATCTACCAGTTTTCTATGTGACAAGCTTGCCCTAAAGAAAGCAGATGTTTTGCGTGGAAATAGACATATTGTGAACTGTGCAGTATTAAAAATATAATAATAGTTACCATGTATTACATGGATATTAAATGCTTAAATGTCGTGAAAATAACATGGTTGAAATTATGCAAATGCAGGCTACAAAAGACAGCTCAGTGGTAAATTCTCCAGTTGTGTAATCTATCATATATGTTGAAATATCAGGTTCAAATTCTCGTAGGCCTTTCATCATTCTGCTGATAAGAAAATGAAAGAAATTTTTGTCCCAGAACATAAGTGCATAAAAAAAACAAAACGAATCGGGTGAGAATTCAGAGTGATTTATTTTTCTTTACATCTAAAGTCAAATTAGCTGAACTATAAACATTATCTAACTCATCTCTTAAATTCACTCACTCTGAATTCTCACTTTAGTAAATAACTCTGCCATTTGCATCCTTTCAGGTTACATCATTTAATATTATTATTGTTTTTAAACAGAGAAGATACATTAATTTTAAAAAAAACCTATCTAGCATAGCAGATGAGAAATGTGAAAAGATTCCTTTATTGCTCTTTGCTTCCTGCATTTTGCTTTTGATGACTTGTCTAACGGGCATCTTGTGTGTTAATGGAAATGACTGGATACAACTATCAGCTAGAGCTATCCAGCTATCTGTGTATAGCTACCGTAAGGATAATGTGCTTGCTTTCAATGCAAAATCTCTATCACAATACAATTCAACATTTTCATTTCTTTAAATATCTTTTCACGCTATAATGATATGAAGTTGCACCTCCTTTAGTTAGTGACAAGAGGTCATGTAAACTATCGCTTGGCCACGGTTACTGTAAACCTATCTGCATGTCTTTCTTTCCCCTGATACCACAAGTCTCTATTTTTATACCTCCTCTAAATGATTTTCCTCACTCGTCCCCATTCCTTTTGCTTATTTCTCTCCTCTCTTATTTCTGTGTTTTCTCTCTACATCTCTTGCTCTCTCCTTCTCCCTCTCTCGGGGTTATATTACAGACACCTCTCAGCTGATTCAGATGTTTTCACACCTCCCTCCTTGTGCAAAGTCCTCTCACTCCCCCTCCTTCTAACTCTCAGACTGTCTTTTTCTGCTGTGTGTGCAGAGACAGATTGGCATAGAACCAGCCCTTTCCTTCTACAAAACAGACTGCCATCCTTTTACCCCTTGCTACTTCCCCATAATCTCTTATTACCTCCGGGGGCTAGAAGAGTGATAAAAAAGGAGAGCATGCAGGAGGAAGAGAAAAAAAGAGGGGGTGGGGGGAGTGGGCAGGTAGTAGAAGAAGAGAAAGGGAAAGGTTAAAAGGAAAGGTGAGCAAGAGAGGGTTAGGGACTGGAAATGAGTTTGAGGCAGTGCAGAATTTGGAGAATAAGAGGCTGTGAATGTATTTTGGGAGTGAGGTGGTGACTAAGAAGAGAAAGCATGAGGGGAAAGGGAGGCACACATTTGTGCAATTCAGTGTGAATAATGGTAGAACTGGGTGGTGGCTCAGTGAAGGACAGATTATTTGCAACACCCAGACAATAAATGAAAGATGCTTAGGTCAAGTCCTGTGTGATTGTGATTGGTAAAAGCTGCCAACTATGCAAATGACTCAGTGACACCGGCGCTATATATACACCGCTCAGCCAGTTGGTTTTAGATTTCTGACTTCATTGCCAAATGAATGAGAAACCTACAGATCACAAGGGCAACTGGTTCTATTAACCCTGAAAAAATAATAATATTATATTCATTATATTTATTTGTTAACCTTAGAACCATATGCCAAAGACTCTATACCATATACCTCTCAATAAACCTCAACTCTCTAAATCTGCTTACTTATATTTAAACATTTTACAACGTTGTGATCCTTTCAAAATTTCCTATACAGTTGCTACATTTCCAATTCCTTTGTATTTCATCCAGCACTGCAAACTTATATATAGCTTGTTGTATTGCAGGAGCATAAACTATGAAATATATATATTTTTTCCCATGCTTACCTTCATTTATTTTTTCTGGTTAATACCATGGCAGCATTAACTAATGGGTTAGCTCCACCCACTCACAGTAGAAAAGACAGGAAATTAATTTCTGATGTTAGGGTAAATAATCAGACCCCTAAATAAAACAGACAGTCCTAGTAACTAACTCTCTAAGCCCACACAAAAAGGGGTGAGATAATGCTGCAATGGTTTTTTAGTCAGGAGAAGAAAATCACGGTAAGTATGGAAACAATTTTCCATATTCGTGATTCGTGAACATTCTCTTGGAGGTACCACTACATGCAAAGAGTTCAAACAACAGTTAAAAGGTATAATAAACTTCATGCTATAGAATTGTAAGGAAACTTTCCTAACTTGATCAATAACGATATTCTCAGCAGCAGCAGTGGAACTAATGTAAAGACGATGCTTTGTCAGCTCTAAATCTTACATGTGCCCATCTTTCCATGGTTGCATGCATCAGCAGTGACTGTATGTGAATGTAGAGGAATTTAGGTATGGAGTATGTGTGTGATTATTTGTGTATATAGCTGATGTTAGAATGTAGGGATGTATTTGTTGGTGTTTTCAGGCAAGACTATTTTTTGTTTTGTACAGTGCATACCATAATTTTAGGTGATTTACTAATAGCAATTTTTGCAACTAAAATGTAATTTAGAAGAACAATGTATCGTATTTACACAGACTAATTGCTAAACACATATATTGTAGATAGATTACTGTAAGTATTATTGCTCTGGAGCTCTGTTATACACTACGGCACACCAATGGAGATCCTTGAAAAAAACGGACATAGGGATTTTGTCCCAAAATAGGGACTGCCCCTCCTAAATAGAGACACTGAGGAGGTATGTTGTGGTGGTGTTTGAACTCAGGAATGTGTTTCAGTCTAAGGTTGTTGTTTATTGTAGTGTCAGTCTTTGTGTATAATGTAAGCAGTGGCGTACATACCAGGCCACCCCTGCGACCCGGTATGTACCGACAGGGCCAGCCTCTTCTCCTGGGGGGCCCAGGAACCGCATGCGCATGCGCATTCAGCAGATGACGTCGCTAGGAAGAAGGAGAGGAGGAGGAAAGCTCCTCGCCCGCGCTGGAGAAAGGTAAGATTTTAACCCCTTTATCCCCAGAGCCCAGCGGGAGGGGGTCCCTGAGGGTGGGGGCACCCTCAGGGCACTATAGTGCCAGGAAAACAAGTATGTTTTCCTGGCGCTATAGTGGTCCTTTAAGTGTGTGTGCATACCGGGGTCGCAGCCTTGCAACCCCTGCGACCAGGTGCCCGCCGCCATGTGTTGCGGCCCTGACCCTCGCCGAGTAAGCGCACGCGGGGGGGGGGCCCACGGATCAATTTTCGCACCAAGGCCCCATGGGTCATGTGTACGCCACTGAATGTAAGAATGATGGGGTGCATTTGTCATATTGGTGTTTTCATGCAGGCGTGATTTCTCAAATACAGATGCATTTTACCATACACAGAAATGCACACATGTGAACAGATACACTGGCACAAAAACACACAGCACAAATACATGGTTTTGTGCTGCCCTAGGCAGGACAAAACTCAGGCGCCCCCCCCCCCCAACTCCCTCGCGCGCGACCCCCACCCATCCCTTCCCCCCGCCCCGCCTTCTAACTACACACACTCACTGACAGATACGCATCCACTAGCTAACAGAAACACAAACTCACTGACACACACAGACACTAACTCACTCACTAGCAGACACACACTAACAGACACACACACACTCACTGACACACACACTCACAATCAGACACACACAAACACACTCACTCACTAGCAGACACACACACTCACTGACAAACACACTCACACTAACAGTCAGACACACACACACTCACTAACAGACACACACACTCACTGACAGACACACTCACTAACAGATACACACACTAACAGACACACTCACTAACAGACACACACACTCACTCACATTAACACATTTATTTTTTTAACCCCCCCCTCCAGCCTCCTTACCTTTGGGAATGCTGGGGGGGTTCCCTTTCTCCCTGGGGTCCAGTGGCTGATGGGCGGGCGGCTGGCGAGGGAGCTCTTCGTACACACATACAAACATTGACCAATATGCATACAAAACACACACATAGATATTCTCACCCTCCTAGTGTTAGCATTTTAGGCCCCTGTATGTCACCCTGCAGCTCTGCCCTACACTATTTAGGCATAGGAACCTCTGGTAGTCACATGCGGCTGGAAAGGATCCCACGGCGCACGTAACAACAGTGTGCGTCAGCGAGCTTTCTAGGGCCCTGGTGCAGTTGCACTGGCTGCATTGCCCTTTGTTCTACATCTACTCAGCAGAGTACACGAGACCCATAAAGAGGACAGCAGAGAAACAAAACATCTACGTTAACACTCAGACATCGATGAACAATAGCCTTAAATTATATAGATACATTGGGTAGCCCAAACAGTACAGAAAACCAGACATTAAAAGGAAAGAGACCTTAAGCATTAATTAGCGAATTACAGATCAAGTGTCTTGTGGTGCCTCGCAAGAACACAAGATGAGAACAACATGAGAATTCAACCTCTAACCAAAATATAAATAAAATTCAACAAATTAACCTGTTTGTTAAGTTCAAATCACAAGCTTGAAAAGGGCTATAAAATACTTATCAAAACTATTAGAGTTTAAACAATGGTACATACCAATCCCAAAAGTGTAGGTCTACTTCAAGTAAAATATTTGTCCTAGGTCTGATTCAATTAAACCCAAGCTAATTACTACAGGAACCAGAGTGGTGTAAAAAAAAATTGCATTATGACAAACATAAGCATTGACATTACAAGATTTTTAAAAAGTCAATGTCTCTAACTTTTTTTTTTTTTTTGACAATCTTTATTTATTTATTTTTCAAGTTTGTTTGGGGTTACAGAAGTAGAAAAGGGGGGAGACAATGAATCAGGTATTGAACCAGTACAGTGTCGTGAGCAAACTCTAACTTTTTCTGTCCATTATGCCAGACTTTTTTATTTTTTTTGTGCAGGTCATGAGTTACAAGCATTGCATATTATAACGTGGAATAAAGTCTTGACTATCTATTCTATGTGTAGGCCATACAGTGAGGATATCTAAGCATGCATTACTGAAATGAGTAAACGCACGTTATCTTGAATGGTACGTATAACTTCTACCCTAAACTGAACTGGAATAGTCAAATTTATATTTAGGGGCTAGGCAAGTACTGTCGGACCCACGGTTACGTCTCCCTAGTTGGGTTATGGTGTTCTGGATTTAGTGGGGGGAGGGGAGGTAGATTTAGTGTAAGCCCTTATTCTCTTTCATGGAACGTACAAAAGGCATATAACATAGATCTGTCATACCAGATCAAAGTCAAGCTACGACCCCTAACCTAAGGGTCATGGAGTGTCACAGGTGGCGGTACGGAAACCGGGACCCCTGAGTGCCTGAAGTGGATGATGAGCGGAGTCTTCAGCGTGGTAGTGGACACATAGAGCCTGGTGCAGGGTAACCACACATCGTCTGGCGTTGAGCACCAGTGTTTGCGCGGCAACATACCCTGAACCCTGATGCAGCTACAGCAGATCCCAGGAACTAAGAGCTTGATATGCAGACCTCCCAGGAACTGGATAGGGGGGCTCTGCAGCAGACATGTATCCAGTATAGAAACAAGGCAAGGCTAGGATAGTCACCAAACACGAAAACAAGACTAATAGAACCCAGAACCAGAGCAGGACAGAAAGCAGAACCCAGAACATGTACACAAGACATGAGGAAAACAAGAACAGGGCAGGACAGGACTGTACATGAACTGGGATTACAAAATAAAACAAGACAAGATATAATAGGCAAAACAAGAGGAGACATAACTAAACACTAAATATGAAAAGTATGGGGATTTGGTTACATTATATGATCATACATTGCATAAGCCTGCCACAACGCCAATGTACCCCATATTCGGCAGGTCCTACACTGCCTTATGTTCACTAAAAGAACCATACTAAACCACAATAGCACTTACCTGCAAGAAAGGGCAGAGACTTGAAACACTGCTGCAGGTCCAGACTGAAACAAAAGGAAAATGGAAAACAAACGGGCGTGGCAACATAAAACAAACATTTAAATAAATCCAAGAGACTGGGAAATTCAGAGACGGAATATAAGAATGAACCCAGAAACCCAGCATAAAGAAAACCAGACATAGAATAGAAAACCAAAAAACCAAGAAAAACTAAACAAGAATTGTAAAAAGAGTACTGGATACCAGAAGCCATCACCAGACTGATCCGCAGAACAAGGCATGATGTGACACGGAGGGGGTATCTAATCAGGCAAATATTACATAAAACAGTGGCTCTTTGTTAGTGCTAAACTGTTCCTTTATACAGAGTAAAGCACAATATATGGGTCTTAATTAAGTTAAAAAAGAAAAGGAAAACAACTTAAGAAACAAAACATAGGCTGACATAGTGGGTATGATGATATTAGCAATAATATGTTAGCTCTCTGGCTCCGCACGATGTCTGCTCAGGTCACTGCTGCTCTATTCAGGCCGCCTCTGGGAGTAAATGGGACAGTTCTCTCTGGGTCCCATATGTGGGATGTGGAAGGTGTCTCCTTAGCCTCTGTGTCTGCTGAGAGTCCCAAAGCTAGAAAGAAAGCTGGGGCTTTCGAGATAGAGGTGAGCTTTGGAACGTTGTTGTTATGTACCACCATTAGGGTTCTTGGCATCAGCCATCGGTAATCTACCTTTGCGTGTTGAAGTATGGTGGTTATGGGACTTAGTGACTTTCACCATTGCAGAGTATTTCATGCATCTTGAAAAAAAGTGAGTCTGGATGTCTCAAAGTCCAGTAAGGTCTTGTCCCTGACTGCTGTTAGGATGCTTTGTTTGTCTAGGATGAAGTGACAGCGAACAATTACATCTCGCGTAGATGCAGGTGGCGCTTGTTTAGCTTTGTTGATGTGGAATTGTCCATCAAATTCAAGCTTCTTGGCCTGAGTGTGAGGCAGCAGTGTTGCAGTTAGCCTCTGCAGATAGTGAGGTAGTTCGGTCGGACCTACAGAGTCGGGCATTGCCCGAATTTTGATGTTTGTCCACCGGTTGCGATTTTTCATGGTGTCAAGTCCGTAGGGTGTCCCCCACATTTTTTAATTTCTTGGCAAATATCCATAATGTCTTCCTCTGTGGCCTGGACTCTTTGTGACACTGCCTGTATCTCTGTCCAAGCCAGGTTCATGTCAGCATCAAACATTTGTTTCATCTCCCTTAACAACTGCCTGATATTACGCTTAGTGGCAGGTGCTAGGTCGCTCCCTTCAGCCTGTAGCTCAGGAGGTGGCTGAGGTTGATGTGAGTCTTCCTGTCCCACTGGGTTTAGCTCTGAGCTGTTAGGTTCCGGGTCAGGGTTAGCCCCCATTTTGTGACTCTGGGGCCGCTGCAAGAAGGTCCCTATATCCCGGGTTTCTTTGTGAGCCCCGGCATGGGATTTTGGGGATTTTCTCACCATGTTGATGTCAGTGAGCAGGGGCCATTCGGGTGTCAGTTGGAGGTTGTACATGAGTTCTGTGTACCATTCCAAGCATCGCGACAGGTCCTCCCCCGGTAAAGGTGTAAGCAAGGCCCGGTCTTACAGCTGATTTTGCTGCCCTTCTGAGCGTATAAAAGGGCATCAGCGGGCAGCCCTTGGTGACATGGGGATAAGGCACTTGGTTGTATAAGCCTGAAGCCCAGTGGAGTTGTGGATGGCAGCAGATTGTTTGACAACTCTCAGGAGCACTGAATGGTAGCATCCATGTAGTTCAGCAGCTAGGCTACGCACCCAATGCCAGACTTTTGAGAACAGTGTAACATTACAGTAAAATGTATTACAAAGGGTTAGCAACCAATTGCAAACATGCCATGCATGGCATGTGAGGTACCTCTCAGTAGCACGCAAGGCTGACAGACCTTAGTTGGTCATTAGGAGAGATCAGAGGACAAGGAAGCATGTGGTATGCAACTCCAGCTGGGGAGAAGGTTGGGTTCTCGAGATGTGCAGCCGCTTATGTTGCTTGCATGCGCTCCACTGCGGACTTCATTTGAGTTCCACTTCGCTTTCAGTCTGTGCGAGCCGATGCTGCCTTACGCATTTCATGAACCAACCGTTCACTTCATCAGAGCTAAGCATCGAAGGGATTTGTACGGTTATTTAGCTGCAGGGCAGTTCTTCTATTAAACTAATAACTCTTGCATTGCTGGCCGTACTTTCAGTCTACTAAACCTCGACTAGCAGTCCATATATACATAGAAAATAATACACCATTAATTTATAAACAAACATAAATCACTGCATAACAATTAAGATATGTCATCATCAATTTAAGCATCTATTTGTAATTAAAAATACTATTATGGTATATACCTTCAGGTTTATACAAACCATAAAAAATAGCATAAACCATAAAAATAACAAAAATCGTAAACCAAAATGTATGTATAAATAAAATAAAATTTAATTCTATGCATAAATAAAATTATTACAACATATTATCATTGGCATTTAGATATGCCCATAATTAAAAACCACTCCACGATACTTTAGAAAATTTGATTGGTTGGAAGTTCCATAAGACAAATGGAAACATAGTGTGTAAGAGAGATAAAAAAAGTAATTTTGCAGGAATGGATACAGAAAAATTACATCATCGAAAAAAGAAATAGCGTACGGGAAAATGTTTGTGAAGTGACTGCTGTGCTCTGGCTGATCAGAGGTTAAATTACAAACTGTACAGAAGAAAGAAAGGATGACACCAGTGAAATTACAGGCATACTCATAAGTCTGCTCTCCGTGATAATACCTAAACCTTCGGACATAATATTCTGTAAATGAAGCTTCAGTTCAATAGAATCTATATATAGATATTACTATAAATGTCTTCCTAGTAGGGTAGCCCTAAATAACCTAGGTCTAATAAATATATGACCAGATAAGTTAAAAACCACAGCAGACAATTAAAAATGGATAAAAATAGATATGAAAAATACTAAAATGCAATACAGCTCATCAAGAAATCAGAACCCTCTCTCTGGAGCCTTTTCTGGAGGCGGTCAGACGGGATGGGGGCATAGGGGGACTGGCATATAGGGGACGGGAACACAAGGTGGCCGCATATGCTGACAACTTACTCTTCTTCATACGAAACCCAGCGGTCTCTTTGCCCAACCTCCTGGCAGCCTTCACTAGATATGGGACCATATCAAAGCAATACCGACAAATCGGAGGCCCTACCTTTGGCCCTGCCCAAGGAGACAGTGGACAGAGTGAAAGTGAACTTCCCCTTTAAATGGTGCACACATCGAATTAAATATTTGGGACTTTGGCTATCCAAAGACCCCGCACGGCTCTACCTGGAAAACGTCCTTCCCATTCTCCAAACCCTACGCTCGGACCTCCAGAGATGGGGGCGCATGTGCATATCATGGTTCGGAAGAATTAATGTTGTGAAGATGAACTTACTGCCACGCCTCCTGTACCTGTTCCAGGCCATCCCGATCTCGATCCCACCGGCCTTCTTCTGAACACTTGGTTCCACAATACTGAAGTTTATTTGGGCAGCCGGTCCTCCGAGAATTAGGCAAACACAACTTAACCTCCCGCGACTCAAGGGCGGGACGGGACTGCCCTCCATGCGGATGTACTATCATGCCACCCACCTCCTGAGGATTGTAGACTGGCACACTCTAGAGATGGAAAAACAATGGGTCCATTTTGAACGCTCGCAAGCAGGCGGACACATACCCCCGGTTCTATGGACCCCAAATCCGGTGCGAGACCGGGACCTAAAAACCCACCCCTTTATAGGGGCGATGATGGGAATCTGGGCAAGGATCAGATGGGAATCTGGGCAAGGATCAGATATAGGCTGAGGCGGACTACAAACCCGTCCCCACTAACCCCGACTACACATTACCCCGAGATAGCTGGGGGACTGTCACTGAGAGACATAGAGGGCTTTAGTGGGAGAGAGGCCCAATACCTCCGGACGTGGTGTGACAACAACCAACTGAGACCGCTGGAGGACATGCTTACCCAACCCCGGGCAACGGGCATCCTTAGGTTTCGGTACCATCAAGTGCAACAATACTATTCTAACTTGCAGGGGAAACAACAACTACAGAGGGACCTCACACACTTTAAGAAGCTCTGCGAGAACGGTGAACATCTCCACCGCTGGATTTCGGCCCTCTACGCTCTGCTACAAGCCACCGAGCAGGGACCCCCGGCCACCTCCCGCTCCAGTTGGGAACAAGCCACGGGAAGTATCCTCACGGAACAACAATGGGAAAAGATCTATATCCTTGCCTACCAGGGGATACTTAGCTCTAAAGTGCAAGAGCTTAACTATAAGCACCTGACCGGATGGTACAGAACCCCTTGCCAGACTGCATGCCATGGGGATTACGCAGTCCAATATGTGTTGGCGCTGCGGCGCAGATGAGGGAACAGACCTTCACATCTGGTGGTTGTGCCCGCTGATAGCGCCCTTTTGGAGACAGATCCATAACAAACTCATTGATATATTGGACTTGGATATGCCCTTCGAACCACTCCCCATGCTTCTTAATCACACACAGACGTCGCTAGAAATCCCTGACAAGACACTTACTTAATGCCGCAAAAAGCTTAATTCCCGGCCTTTGGAAATCAACAGACACTCCAACTGTGTCACAATGGCCGGCGAAGGTTGAAGAGATTTTCACTCTGGAATCCCTGACGGCTGAACTAAGAGGCACACAAGACCGCTGCACCAGCATGTGGACGCCATGGATCTTATACATGGCTGGGTGGGGGCAGGGGCGGGCCCGGACGGGGCTCGGACTAGAGACGGAGTAAGAACTAGGAAGTGTTCCTAGGAAGACACCTAGGAACACTGACCTACACACTCACTCACACGGGCGGACGGATAATACAGCTTGGACACCCGATCTTAGATATCCTTACTCCACAGCCACTAGGCCCGGAGCTAAGGACATTTGACTGTCCCCCTGGGAGCAGACAGACGGAACCACGCAGTTAGGCCGGAGCCAACACATAGAAAGCAACCAGGCACATACGCAAATAACATGGGCATAAGACGGGAACGAACATACTTAGCCCTGTTGGAGTAGGACCACTGTTGGTACAGAGTAGGGCAACTATGGATGTAGGAGTGGATGGTCACATGCGGGCCTACACACTGGAATGGCTGGGGACATAAACAAGCTATGGGTTGGGGCAACAATACTGCCCGCTTCCCATACCCCCCCTCACGGGGTGGGAGTCGCCGGACGACACATAAGAACACTGACCAACACACCCACGTACGCAAACGCACATACATCCAATCATGGACACCCGGCTTTAGACGCCCCGACCGCATAGCTACTTGGCCCTGAGCTAAGGGCATAAGAACATCCACCCGGACGCAAAGGACGGAATTACACAATTAGATTGGAGCCAACACATAGATAGCACCCAGGCACACACGTAAACTGCATTGATATAAGACGTGACCGAACCTACCTGACCCTGGCGGTGCAGGTCCGCAACAGGCACAGAGTGGGGCAACTATAGTTGTAGACGGGAGTGTTCACGTGCTGGCTTACGAATTGAACTGGACAGAGACACAAATAGACTACATGGTAGGGCAATATAACAGCCCGTCAAATTGAGACGGGGGCACCGGGGATATACTGCACGCTAAAACCTCCGCTCCCGCAACCCGCACGTCGTCTACATGCCGACCCATCAACCTGTACCATAGCGGGAGGACTGAGGGGTGAGGGGAGTGGCCCGGTGCCACGTTGATAAGCGGAAGGGATCAAGGCACCCACCTTCCCCACACACGACCTAATTAAGCCAGAGCACTAGCACCCGCCTTCATACCACCCGGGCACGAAGCTACACCTTAAGATAAACTCCACTGGGTTGCACAAAGTAGGCGAATTACCGGGTCGGGTGAGGTTGACGGGCCTCAACACTACTAGATGGACCTGAGGGTTCAGATTTATCGAGGATACAAGGTTGCAGCTACGCCACCTACCTTTACGACAATAACCGGTGGTGCTGGGGGCAGTGGGAGCTAGGCCCCGGGGGGCATTTGTCTACCTTTCTGTCAGACTTGTATACATCACAGTTATGTACACCTCCTGTTTATTACCCCTGTTTCACTGTCAAATTTACAAAATAAAATAAACAATGACAAAAAAAAAGAAATCAGAAAATAAAACAAATGAAACAGATAAAACATACAAAATTAATCAAGAAGTAAAAAAAATGATTAAACAGATAAAATTCTTATGAAAAATACTAAAATATCATAAATCTCATTACCATATAAGAATATAACTAAAGCGTGTCAATTAATATAAAATGGATAATGTTATATATGTTACGAAGTAATAAATCTTATAAATTCATAAATTAAAAATTTCAAATTACAAAAATCTAGAATTCTTAATAAACATATGAAAAAGATATTTGTAAAAACCATACAGAGAAAAAGGAAAAGTTCATGGGGAAAAAGAAAAGTTTTCCAGGATAAAATAATTTATAAAAATGCATTTAATTATTATTATTATTATTATTATTGCCATTTATATAGCGCCAACAGATTCCGTAGCGCTTTACAATATTTTGAGAGGGGGGATGTAACAATAAATAGGACTATTACAAGAAAACTTACAGGGACAATAGGTTGAAGAGGACCCTGCTAATTCAAAGTCTATGTTAAGACCTTTTGGTTCTAAAGTATCTAGCTAATAATCCATTTGGCATCTGCTCTATCCAATGCTTTTTCTAGATCTCCTCCCCTCCAGTGTGGTTTAATGAGCTCAATTGCTATGAATCGGAGACCTTCTGGATTCTTAGAGTGGTATGTGCTAAAGAGTCAGGAGAGGTTAGGTCTAGGCAGGCCTTTCTTTATTTTCCATATGTGTTCTCCCAGGCGGGTCTTAAAGATCCTCTTCATTCTGCCTACATACTGTTTATTGCAGGGACACATAAGTAGATAGATCACGCCTGTTGAAGTGCAGCTTAGATAATTTCTAATTTTAAACTTATCTTCCTTATTCATGTGCTGAAATTCATTAATCGTTCTTTCTTGTTGTGGAAAATTCTTGAAACCCATACATTTTACATATCTGAAAAAGCCAGAATTCTCTGAGCCCCCTGTTTTTTCTTGTCTTTTTTAATTGTTGGAGCTAATAGCAATTTAAGATTAGGTGCCCGGGAATATATTACTTGAGGTTTGGTCCCTGTAATAGGTCCCAATACTGGATTATCTTGAAGAATCTTCCAATGTTTATCGAAAATGTGCATAATTCGGTGAGATTGATTACTGTACTTTACAGTAAATTACAGGGTTTCCCTTTCTTGTTGTGTGGGTTTCATTTAAGTTTAAGTTTATCCTTAACATAGAGCTCTAAAAAACAGGATATTCATGCAAACATAGAAGTTTGTATGTCATTGTAAGGGTTTAGCTACAAAAAAAAAATTAAATTGGGCATCTTAACATCCTGTAGACCAATAACATGCCAAACATGTCATGATATCAATAGATTTGTCTAAGCCCTGGTCATTAGGTGTTAAACCCACTCAAGAACAAGAAAACACGGAAATCTTCACAGTTCAGGCACATCATCTTTCATTCATTTCATATTATTAAAGGTGCTCCATAGCCACACCTTGGCTGTGAAACTCAGATAGTTGGTTGGCAAGATGAGTCTCTTCCCTTGGCAAACTATCAGAACTCCATCTTAGGGTTTGATTTCAGATGCGTACCTAATTTAAATGGCTCCCAGGGTGAAAAAGTATATTGGAAACCCACCAAACTGTATTTCTTTTTTTGATGCTCTACAATGCCACTAAGATCCTTTTGTTAGAGAAATTTCAAGCATATATTTCGTATACACAACACAAACATTTATACAGACACATGCTCAAATTCACATACAAACACAAAAATCCGTATGTACACACGCTTACATTCATATATACTCAAATTCATGTACACACACATGCATATTCATACACATATACAGTGAGGGGGAAAAGCATTTGATCCCCTACTGATTTTGAACATTTGCCCACTGACAAAGAAATGATTAGTCTATAATTTTAATGGTAGGTGTATTTTAACAGTGAGAGACAGAATAACCCCCCCAGAATCCAGAAAAACGCATGCCAAAAGAGTTATAAATTGATTTGCATGTTAATGAGTGAAATTAGTATTTGACCCCTTCGACTTAGTACTTTGTGGCAAAACCCTTGTTGACAATCACAGAGGTCAGACGTTTCTTGTAGTTGGCCACCAGGTTTGCACACACCTCAGGAGGGATTTTGTCCAACTCCTCTTTGGCAACTCAAACCTTCAGCTCCCTCCACAGATTTTCTATGGGATTAATGTCTGGAGACTGGCTAGGCCACTCCAGGACCTTAATGTGCTTCTTCTTGAGCTTTGGCTGTGTATTTTGGGTCATTGTCATGTTGGAATCCATTTCCAATGCCCTGGACCCATTTTCAATGCCCTGGCTGAGGAAAGGAGGTTCTCACCCAAGATTTGACCCAGTCCATTGTCCTTTTGATCCGGTGGAGTTGTTCTGTACCCTTAACACAAACCCCCCCCCGAAAGCATAATGTTTCCATTTCCATGTTTGACGGTGGGGATGGTGTTCTTGGGATTATAGGCAGCAATCCTCCTCTTCCTCCAAACACATGGCGAGATTGAGTGAGTTGATGCCAAAGAGCTCGATTTTGGTCTTATCTGACCACAACACTTTCACCGTTCTCCTTTGAATCGTTGAGATGTTCATTGGTAAACTTCAGACTAGTCTGTACATGTGCTTTTTTTGAGGAGGGGGACCCTGCGGGCGCTTCAGGATTTCAGTCCTTCACGGCCTAGCGTGTTACCAATTGTTTTCTTGGTGACTATGGTCCCAGCTGCCTTGAGATCATTAACAAGATCCTCCTGGGCTGATTCCTCACCATTCTCATGATCATTGAAACTCCACGAGGTGAGATCTTGCGTGGAGCACGAGACCAAGGGAGACTGACAGTTACTTTGTGTTTCTTCCATTGGCGAATAATCGCACCTTCTCACCAAGCTGCTTGGCGATGGTCTTGTAGCCCATTCCAGGCATGTGTAGGTCTACAATCTTGTCCCGGACATCCTTGGACAGCTCTTTGGTCTTGGCCATGATGGAGAGTTTGGAATCTAATTGATTGATTGCTTCTGCTGACAGGTTTCTTTTATACAGATAACGAGCTGAGATTAGGAGCACTCCCTTTAAGAGAGTGTTCCTAATCTCAGCTTGTTACCTGTATAAAAGACACCTAGGAGCCAGAAATCTTGCTGATTGATAGGGGATAAAATACTTATTTCACTTTTTTGTTATTGTGTCTGTTACGGTACATACAGTAATAAATGTACAAACCGCCGTTTAGTGAATGCTCCCCGTTCGCAATAATGTGGTCTGGTAGCGTATGCAGTATAACCATGCGAACCACCAGCCAGGGAACACTCCAACCTCCCGAACGGTACCTGTACGGCTCCTTCCCTTCATGAGCTCCAAATACACGAACTGCCAATATTAACCGAACGCCAATAACTTCCAAGCGGCAAATAATTCCAATGAGCAGTCTCTAGTCGCCGGTAATAAAATCCCCCCAATAACGAGACCAAGCTTCGCTTTGAGGGTAAAACACGAACTGAGTTTACTGTGGGCTACCTGCCCGTATTTATGCAGGTCTCCCACTTGGTGGACACTCCCCTAGGGGACCAAAGGGGAGACTGGAATAGCAGAAGGACATGGGGACATTTTAGACATACAACCCCACAATATTCCCAGCATGTATCACAGTTTCCTCCCCTCTGCTCGGGAGATAATTGAGAAGTAATTCAATTATCTCCCAGAGCAGAGGCAAATCGCCATTTTAAATACAGGTCACAAAACACATAAAAATACATAACTTTATAACTGCCGAACATATTACATTCGTGTAACACATCCCCAGATAGCCTGGATCTGAGTGCATATTATTGGCGAATAGCGCTCAGATCCCACAGACATAGTTCAATCGCCATGGAGTCAAAGTCTATTACAGTTCTTTGGTATGCAATTGACTCTATGGGAAGGCTATCTGGGGTAAGTCCATTCGTGCCTTTAAACCTCTCGAACGGCCGGTGTTCGCATACTTCTGTCGATTGAGAAGGGAGATCGACGGCTTCAACGGTGTTCGGTTGAAAAAGTGTCCGTTTTTAGTTCCATGAAATAACCGTCGAACACCGCTGGTCTTTCGCATGGTTAAAATGGCCGCCGCCTCGTGGTCGACATACGAACGACGACCACCCGTATTCGGTTTTAATTGAGAAGTGTCTGTGGTTAACCGCAACGTTCTAATTGGGATCAA